CAGGGCACTAACTCCACAAAGTGGCTACCTCAATAACCTGGGATCTTGAGGGTGTATGGCCCTTCTGGGAGTGCTTAAGGATCTACACATCAAAAATAGTAGTGCATAGGGTCCTTTTAATGCTTTCAAACTACTGTTCACACTTCTTTGTTTCCAGATAATTTAATTGCATGTTGATGAAGTAAGGGACTTGATACTGTGTTACATGCAGAAATACACGTCTCCCTTCCTGATGCTGAGTATAGACCTTTTCCATTAGCAATAGTATTCACATAGTCAGGGCTCAAATCCCCATTGTTCATTCCTTGGGAGTAAGGCAGACTCTTGTAATAATATTACATTATACTCCTTCCAAAGATGAGATGAGTCTTGTTGCATTTCAAAACAATGTGACCAAGATGAGGATTTCATCCAGGAGCTACACTCTTCCAGAAGTACTAAGGTACTCGCAGCTATTTGAAATTGAGCTATTTTGGCCCTTAATTGAGAAATAAATAGGTCAGGCAAGGCCTTTGAAAGGAATTTAATAGATACATCCAACACTTGCAGAGAAGCATGAAACTCTCCTGCTAAAATGAAATTGGGTTCATGAAAGGTCATGGTTATCTTTTCAAGTAAGTTTTTGCATGTCTTCAGAGCAAATACCGCATTAGAGATAAGGGTAGAGTCTCTGTTTTACTGATAAGACTCTAAGTTTTCTTTTTTCCTCCAAGTTATGATTGAACTTCCTGCAAGCTAAGCAGCGCGCCTGCTAGATCTGACTTTTGTTTTATTGCTATATAGTGACATACCAAACTAGTAAGGCATCAAGCAGTAAGTACAAGAACCAAAATTATAGGAAAATACTTCCTTATTATTTTATTGGTGACTTTTAATCCTGCCATCAGTTTTTCAGAAACTACTGTGACATGGATAACAATCTCAAATTGGCTTGACGTTAAAGCTAATTCTGCCTTTATAAGCACAATCACTTAGAAATTTGGGAAAGGGTCTAAAAAGGACCTCATGTATCTTTAAGTATATATAGATACCCATGCAGATAGATGTATATGTCTGTACATGTCTGTCTATGTATAGTTACATATAGATATATGAAGGATTTATAACCGTACTTTACTCCATCCTAAAGTTCCTACCAGATGTGCCTTCCCACTGAATTTGGTGTCACACAAACAAGTGATTTCCCAGGTGGCACAATGGATGGGTTGGAAACCTCTGGTGGAGAGAAGAGTTTAAATGCACCCTTGGGGCTGGCAGCTAAAGCAAACCGGAAGCTTGCCCCAGGCTGCTAAAGCTGATCTGCTTTAGGAGGTGTCCATCATTTGCCCTGAAGCCTGAAGGGCTGATGTATGAACCTGCATTTACCTCCTTCCTGGGCCATGATCTTAAAAGCTGATGAAGAGGAGCCTGTGGCCCAACCTTTGACAGTTGACAGCCCAGACCCTGGGATCAGGACACTTCCCTGCTGTGTCATGCCGACACAGCCGCAGCAAGGACCAGCTGGCTCTGGGTCAGGAGACATTTGGCTTCATGAGCAGCACATAGTGACTGCAGTGTGGTGCTGCCCTGCCCCCTGGCAAGGGCTGCTGCCAGGCGGAGGTGGCCCCAGCTTGCTCTGAGCCTGCAGACCCTCCTCTGGGCCACTTGGGCTGGGCTAATTCATAAATAAGTGATAGTGTTGTTCAGGCCATCTGGAAAGTTTGGGTTTGGAAAGCTGAGATAGTCATTGCTGAATATTGGGATCTACTTGTGTTTGGTTAAATAGAGGCCCAGAGGATGTTTGCCGTTAAATAACTCAGCAGAAGGAAATGCAGGAAAAGCAATCTTTTACAAGTTCAGGACATAGTCTGCAGCCTGTTGTGCTCCTGCTCGTACAGATGCTCCACGCTGAGAAAATGGGTTAAGGGAACTGCCCCCTCCAGTGCCTGCAGGAAGGCCTGGGACAATGGCCAGTGCAGGAAGGATGTCGCAGGTGGATACGGCATGGTTGTGCCATGGTGCAGAGCAGAAGAGAAGTCTCCATGGCTCCAGAGGACACCAGATGTTTTATGGCTTCTCAGTATGTTTTGAAAAGCATCCTGTGGGTGATCGCAGATGTGAGGAATAAGACTCATGGCAAGCTGTGTTAATCCTGGGTGGTTTTACACTGCAAAGTTGGGGTTTTGTGGCCTCTTCACTGCAAAGGTGGAAACTAAAAGAGGCAGAAGTGACGGGGGGGTGGAGATTAGCACTGCTTTTGGGGAGCAGGAATAAAGATTGAGTGCAAGACTGAAAAAGCTGACACAAGTGGTTAGAGAGTTGGGATTTTGGGAGAAGAGAGCATTTCTTGGGAGCAGTAAGCTGATGGGCTCTCCAGGCACAGTAGCTGCAGGGCAGTGGTGGCAGCGACAAGGCAAATCTGTGTCCTGGTGATGGAGGGGTGTCACAGCAGCTGGAGCTTGGAGGTTGAGTCTCCATCCTTTCAGCTCCCCCCAGGAGCCTACACCAACCCAACAGAGCTGCTGGAAGCCTCCTTGTATCCCTGCCAGAGCAACAGTCAATGTGGAATACAGCTGGGGCTTGGGAGGTGTGCAGCAGGGAAGGATTGTATAGTAGAGCAGATAACTCACCACCATGAGGGAAACCAAAAGATCTTTTCAGCCATGTAAGGCCAAGAGGAAATCAGAAAGTGTTAAGATGCCACTGGACAAGGACACTTTTATCATTCATACAGTGTCGCCGTTTTGCTGCTGTTAAGGGTTATTTTGTGGGCAGCATAGTACTATTGAATTACTGTGTTCCATTCTCCACAGTTGATATTTATCTACCCTCTTTCACAAGTATCAAAATACTTAAATGGCTGAAAAGTAAATAAAGCCTTACCACAAAGTCTGGGCACGAGCAGTGATAAACATCACTGACTTTTGGCACTAGTATTATAGATCACATTTAGGAGACCGGTTCTGGAGGTAATTGGAGTGGGAGCCTGGAGCAGGTGGCCTAACAGGCTGGCCTTTTCCAGTGGGTTATGAGCTTGATGTGATCGTGAATATGTAGTAAGGTAGCGGACATGTGGCTCTTCTGAGCGCTGAAAAGATCTTGGCTAAATCCCAGCAAGAGAGGAGAGGCAACCCCAGAGCAGATCTCAACATGATAAAAATTGAGACCCGTCCTCCTATTACTTGAATTTTTTTCTCTGATATAGGCCAACAATGACTTGGAAAAAATACATGCACCTTCACTAACTCTTCTGAATTATGACTATGTTCTTTTTATCTGGTTTAAATTGATTGAATAGCGATGGGCTGATTCTGCTGTTACTTTGGTGTTTGCAAGCTTTCACTGTCTATGCCCTTGTGTTCATGTTTGTATTTCTGACTCTCCCAAGGTTTTACAGGACATAGCATGTCTCCAGAGACTGTTATTCATTATTTAAAACCCACTGAAGTGGAATGCAAATTCTGACCATTTTCAGTCGGCCATTATTTATTTTCCATTCATAAACTTCTATCAAGTAGCACCAGGCAGCATTCAGGAGGCACAGCAGCCAAGCAGTGAAGCAAGCCCTTCATTCACAAACATGTTGCAGGCTGATAGTCACCCGTAGACCCTGGTCGTGAGTCATAGTGAGCAGCGAATACATCTTGAACATCAGGACCCTTTCACACGCTGAAGGAAGTGTTGCAGTTTTACTCATTTGATCTGCATATTGCTCTCTGGAGGCAACATTTTTCTTTTTACAGTAATTCAGGGACATATTATGAAATCTGGAATACTGCTAAATTCAAGGAAACTTCTTGCTGAGTATGACATTCAGGATCTTCATTCTGCAACAAGATACAGCAAACATATGGCCACACAGCAACACACTGAAATGTGAATTTACTTTGTGTTGCAAGAGGAATCTGACACGAGAGCATACAGGGCTCTGCTCAGTCAGTGCAGGAGCATGCATGCTGCAGCTGTAAGTGGAAGGGAGACCACAGCTCCACAGGGTTTTCCTGTCACCTCTGCAGCCTTATAAACCCATTTGTGGGTGGAAATGCAGAGTTAACAGCTAAGGGCAAAAGATTTTGCCTATGGGTGAATCTTACCATGCTAGTTATGATGTGACTTTTGCCTGGATAATGGCAAGTGCCAGGAAGGGGGCGAGGAAAGAGATACAAACCTCTTCGCTGTAAATATTTCTTGTTGAAAATATCCTGGAAGAAATATTTCTGAGAGTCTCAGTTTCACCTTTTTCTTAACTCTGATGGTATTGCTTAGATGGCAGTGACACCCTGTGGTACCACCCGCTGGTGCAGCACTGGGCACTAGTTCATTCAGGAAGTCGGTATAAGATTGCAGTAACAAGAAGCCCAAGGATGTTTTTAATTCATCTTCACAGACCGCATCCTCCATCCTCCCTGAGTGCCTTTGCACTACGTAGGATGTACCTTTTTGGATTTAAATGTCCTGAAAGTAGCTACTGCGTCTTTCTGGGCATTTGTGCAGTGCCGGCATGGTGGGTCTCTCTCTGGTTTGAGTCACATTTCTTGGCTTTACAGTAAGAAGACTCAGCTGTAGTAACAAACCATCATGGTGCACCTTTGCTATACAACTTCATGAAAGTGCTTGCTGCTGCTCTGCTTGCCCCAGTAAGCAAGGAAAGCTTGTGGTTGGAGGTGACAGCGCTCATCTTGGGTATTTTGTCTCTTTCAGGGGGTTCACGAGTCAAAGGGTGTGACTGAAGATTATTTGAAACTGGAATCCCTGATCCAGAAAGTGGTTTCTCCTTACTTGGGCACATACGGGCTGTATTCCAGCGACGGACCCTTCACGCACTCTTCCTGTATCTTGGGTAAGAATAACAGGGGCTCGATTTGAGACAGCACAGAGAGCTTCACCAAAACCTTCATCCACACAGGGCCAGGGCCCACACAAGGAGACTGCCTACTACTTAGAAAAGGCAACACAGTCAGGCTCCTTTTCTAAGGCCATGCTTTTTGCAGTATGCAAAGTCATAGTGAAACTGGCCAGTGGCAGACGATTAAAACAGATCCTCATAACAATGCTCATTAATAAATCTGTGAACCTGAAATGTGTTTAGCATTTCCATTCCACCTTTTAATGAGAGAGCTTTAACGCAGGATGCTCTATGGACAGTGAGAGGAAGAAGCAGGAAGCAATTTCTGGAGTGCTGAGTAGTGTCTGTTCATTAGTGCACCAAGATTGTTCAAGGCTCTTTAAAGCAGGAAAGAGAGCAGGAATTTGTCTTAGAGAAGATTAACTGATAAGCCTTCCAGCATGTGAAAGCTTTCTGCAGAGTGGAAGGTAATAAGCTGTTCTCCATCCTACTGGAGATCAGAAAAATAGAGTGGACCACATATTGCAGTGGAAATTCAGATTACATGAAAAGAAAAATCTCTGATGCCACATAAACTGCCTCTGAAGGCTGTTGAATCTTCACTGCTGGAGGAGCTGATACATGTCACATCAGAAGCAAGGTGGGTAAACATGGTCCTGCCTGGTGGCAGAGGCTAAGTGACCTTCTTGAGTCCCTTCGAGCTTATTTTCTGTGATTCTTTGAGCTCTGAAGCATTCAGTGTCTTCTGTGAAGGCAAGATTTGGCCAAGAAGAAGGTCTTTTGAATGTCCCACATAGTAATTCAGTCTGTTGCAAATGCAAGGGGAATACTATCAGTGTAAATCAAAAAGGAAATGTGGTAGTACCTGAGTATTTTAATGTAAATACCATGATGACCTGCCTGAATGGAGGAAACAGTGGGGAAAAGAAGTTCAACTGTGTGTTTTCTATGCAGTCAATTTAATCTGTTTTCTTGCCAGTTATAGTCAGTAAGGTAGTTGATTTCCCCTTGAAGCTGCATGGAAAAATGTTTGTATTGCAGTAGGTGTTTAAGAAACAAATCACTTTTACGTGAACAAATAGAGGCCAGTTATTTAAGGAAAATGGTTCAGGATTACTACTTTGTATTCATTGCTTGCCATTAAAAGGCCACAGGCATTTAAATGGAGCCCCAAAGTGATGGTTTCTGAATAAAAGCTTTTGTATGTCAGTTCAGAAAAAATGCACCCAAAGAGAATAAATAACTCCAGTGGAATTGGAGAATTGTTAGAAAATAAATCCTGTATTACATGACTGTAGAAGATAGGAAGGTTTTGGTGGACCAGGCATTTCCTCTTGCTGCAGTCTAGGGTGTAGATCTGTAGCAGTACCCCTGAATATGTCTTACTGTAGTCAGTGAATGTGGATTCAAGGGGGCTGAGTGCATCAGTCTCTTTCTGTTTTTAAAGTAACACATCTAGTTCTGTCCAGCTATTTTGGTAGCATGATTTGAAGCAGCCTTCCCCTCCAGCCAAACCTCGGTGTGACCAAAAAGCCAGAGTTCCCATGGCAGGGCAGCCCCAGGGAACCTTTGCTGTTTGCCACGTCAAACTCCTAACAAAGAAGAAGTCCAAAAGTGAACTTGCCAAAGGCAGACAAAATTGCAAAATACAATCTTATGTACAGAAACTGGCTTTTTTATTAGTACAGCTTATGATTGGAACTAGTGTACAGGTACGCACATAACTATACATAAGTGTAATCTTAGAAGAGACTGGCATTTTAAAAGGAAATATTGTGGTTTGCAGAGGAGCGTATACCAGCATCCTGAGTTAAGGCAGACAATTCATATGCGGTGGCTGTGGTTGACTTCCAGAGCATAACTTCATTCCCTTCTCCAGCCGTGCCCCTTTCATGGGGATGGCAAAGTGAGAGTAGCAGGAAGAGAGCTGCAAAAGTGAGAGCTGTTATTCACACCCCTTGTTTTTTAGCATGGGCGAGTCTGAGCACTGAGGTCTGCAAAAAGTTTGCGTGATGATCCTTTTAAACTAGCTGCTGGAGAGCCCTCAACTGGTGGAGGATCTCCGTGCTGACTTGCTGCCACCTGCTGCTCATTTTTGGAAAGAGCCCACTTGGTTAAGAGCAGCATTTAGATGATCACTGCCGGACGGAGTGCAGGTTTGTTCCCCAAAAAGGCTGCTGTGAGCACTGCCCTCCAGTTAACATTTCCAGTCTTGGTGCTCTCTCCTTGTGTGGTCTCTGAACAATGCTTTCAATTGAAGTTTTTTTCCAGAATTATTAGTAAGACTGCCTGTTGTAATACTTGTGCCTCAGATTGGAAGAGACCTGATTTTCCCAGGCTGAGTGGAACAGTTACATTTCAACTACTAGAAATTAGTCATGTCCTTTATAGCCTGAACAAGAACAGAATTGCACTTTCTGTTCTTGTCTAAAGAATTTGCAATTGTATATCAGGTCTCCCACAAAATTTACTGTTGTAGTCCAGCTGCTGAAGTTGTATGAATGTACAGGAATCTCAGCTATTATTTGTAAGGATGGGTTTGGAGTCTTCAGTAAGCTAAAGGAATCTAGGAAACCTGAAGCCAATGGATCTACAAAACCAGCAAAATATTTTGTTTTATAAAAGTTTCTGTCATTCAAGAAAATCTCACTAATATTCAGGCTTGACTTTACTTTTGAACACTTGTAAGAATCAGTACCACAAAAACAGGAGACTTTGTAGACCTTACTCTGGATCTTTCTCTCTTTACAGAGAAGCGGTTCTTCAGGCGTTCAAAATCGGGGGACATACTTGCCAAGAACCCCGTGGTGCGATCGAAAAGCTACAACAATCCCCTGCTCACGCCAGTGGCCGAGTATGAAACAGAGGGCATGGCTGCCAACGGAACAGGCATCCGAAGGCACTCCGTTTCAGAAATGACCTCCTGCCTGGAGCTCCAGGGCTACTCCAACCTCACCACTATCATGGACAACGGCTCCAAGAGCTCCATGACGGCCACGAAAAGCTCGCTGTCGGGAGACCAGGAGAGGCCCAGCAGCGGGTCGGTGCAGTGCTCTAGCAAACTCAGCACAGTTGAGCAGCAGAAAGGACTCTTCCACGCGATGGACGACCCACATAGGTCTTTTGAGCTGGACAGGGACCCTTCCTTGATTCCAGTTCCCTCTTCCAGCCCTGAGAACATAGTGGATCAGATTTTGGAGTCGATCGACTCTGATTCTGAAGGCATTTTTATTGATTTTGGCCGGGGCTGTTCCAATTCATCAGCATACAATGTGGACGTGAACAGACAGAGCATCATGTGAAGGACATTGGGAGACAAACCTTGGGTTTTAATATTATATATGAAAGTTACAAATGCATTGAGTCGGACTCTGGGCAAGCAATATATGTCCAGGGCAGAACCTCTGTTGTAGGTCATCACAGCTGTACTGAGGTACACAGACACAAGTTTACAGCAGGTGGGAATCTGCTGCCAGGGGGAAGAAACTCCGACCGCTTCTCCCTGTCCCCATCACTCTGCAGCAGGATTTCCTGTTGTCTTTATAAACTTAGGGGTTCACAAGCTGCCAAGTGTCTGGTAAAATGCTATTAGTGCAGCTGGCAGTGTTGGTTCAGTGAAACAGCCTAGCAAATAGCTGTGTTCACTTTTAATTTTCTCAAGAGATTTCCTGTAGACGGCAGGTTGTTCTCTGAACTGTAACACCTCAGCCACAGTAAAAACATGTCCTTTTAAGAAAGAAAAAAGCCCCAGAGGCTGTGGGCCTTTGTGCAACAGAATACAGTGATAAAGAAGTATCTTTTAATCTTCTTCTTGTACATCTTGTATGCACTCCGTTGCCTAATGGCGAGTTAAAGAGTTATTGAAGAAAGGCAAATAAACAGAAATGTGCTACCTGATGTCACGCGATGCCTCATGTTTCATATGCTGTTTCACAGCCAATACTTTGTGTCTGTGAGAGAGCTGTCTTAAAACTGGCTTTGAAGGCTGTGTTAATTTGCTCTGAATGTGGTACTTACAAGAAATCTGTGCACTGTTGACTCCTGGAGCATCCGTTGTATAGAGAGATTCAGCAGAATTCAACTTACTTGTTTCCTAAATAAATAAAAATACGGCCTATTGGTGATATTCCTCATTATATATTTATAATCTTAAAAAAAATACTGTCAATTATGTATTGCTATTTGGGAAGTGTGAGGCTTGCAGCTCTTCTCATCCTGAGCATTCCCAGCTCTTTGATTCTCCCACACAGTAGCGGTGTTGTAAGAGTTGTGTCAGTGGTTTCACAGAGGATTGATGCACATGGTACCGAGGTGAAGTAGACATCCTGATGCGTGATGGATTTTTGATCAGATGGTTTTACAGTGAAGAAAGAGCTACTTCAGGTCACTCCATTCCTCCTCTGAAGGAAGGAGTCAGTCAGTAACTCCTGCGCTGTTCGGCAGAGACTGGTCATCAGTTTGGTCTGGCAGTGCCTGGCGCTTAGCTCAGATGCTCAAGGACTCTCCAGCTTGGCTCTGTACTTGCAGTCCTGGCTCCAGCATTCACCAAATTCTTCCCTAGACTTTGATTATGTTTCTGGACTTAATGCCCCGCTTCTGACACTAAATCTCCTTTGACCTTGCTACTTGATCATTTGGAAAGTGTTAGCTCAGTCTTTTGCTGCCACCCTGCTTCACTGCTGGAGATTTCAGATTCTGGATAGATGTGCAGACTCCCCGTAACACACAGATTTGAGAACCTCAGAATCCAGCTGAGAAAGGAGCCCCATAAATGAGGCAGGGGTTTGGTGTCTGGTTTGCTTCTTTGTGTTTGGTATGCTCAGCTGTGCAGCCTGCCGTACAGGTAGGCACTTAAGTTAGGTCATACTTAAAATGAGATGAATACTTATATAGAGATAAATAATTGCTTCCATCTCCCAGCAGTCTCAAACTTAGCAGCCAGGGAACACACCTGGATGGGACCATCCGATGTGGGGCAGAGTCGGTGCAGAGGGACTTAACACCAACTGGCACTCACATGCACTGCAGGAGGAACCGGCTATCCCCGAGCATTGTAGCGTTGCAGCCCAGGACTTCCAGTCTAACCTTTACGTTTCTCTTAAAGGGGGCTCTTCAGAGTCAAAGCTCTAGCAGCTGAAAGGTCTTCTGTAGGCTTTATTAGCAGCACATAGGACCTGTTTACCAGGACCACACTGGAGAATGGGAGAAAAGTCCAGTCAAGCACAGCCCACCCCACCCCACCCCAAAACTGATTACCAGCTGTGAAGGAGTTGAATGAGTATTTAAGGAAGTTGCATTCAAACCTGTTGGGATTTGTTAAGTTGTTCTTAGGTGTTGGGCTGGTCTATGAGTGCTGCTGAGCTGAAGTGAAAGGCTTATATTTATCCTCTTTAGGATGAAGAGGATCTCAATTGGCTTCAATTAAAGTAAGTTACCTGCTGATGCTGTAATGGAACAGGTTGAGCTCTGCTGTTGCTGTGGTTTAGAGCCTGCTGAGCTAAACTTGCCTCTGCTAGCAAATGTGGTATTCACAAAAGTGTTTTATTTGCTGTGCTAAAGCTCTTCTGCTGGGGTAATGACTAAAGAAGGAGCAAATGTATTCTGGCTCTAAGGGTTCAAGTTGCAGTTTCAGGGGTATTTTTTAATTAAAGAAAACATTATAAACTCAGTAGGCTTGCTATGAAGAGCCTGAAAATCCAGTCAAAATTCCCTACTGCAATGGTGATAGGGTGGTATTTTGTCTCTTCTTCAAGTTTCTGTTAAAATATGCAGGCAGATATGACTGTAAATTGGAAAACTGTGTGTGCTAGTCTAGCTAATTCATGTGAAAGCCACCATCTCTGCTATCCTCAGAGGTGAAGCTTCTCATTAACTCATTCTCCAAGAAGTGGCATGACTGGTGGCACTACTCTGTAGAAAGAGCTAGGTGGATCTGTGCTCTAGCTCTGTGCTCTCTGCAGGCCTGGTTTGTATCTGGGAGATCATGTGTGTGAATGTGCTTTATTTATGAATGTGTAAGGTGCAGAGGGGCACAGAGTCAAACACAGCCCTGGAAGGACAGATCATGCAAATGGTGCTGAACCAGGTATGTGCAGGCAATCAAAGCCCACTATTCAGTGACTTCAAATGCTGCACAGATGCAAAACTGCCCTAATTTGAGATCCCTCCACTAGTAATCCCAGTGCAGACAAGTCAGGGAAGTAGTCTTCTTAGAGACAAATCATGGAGTCATTACAAAGGAAAAACGTGTATCAAAGAGAATAGTGCAGGTTTTTGCCAAAATATGAAGTGTTGGCTTTCAGCGCTCAAATGCTGCTATGTGGCAGTGTCCCAGTGCACCAGTGATACTCAAGCTTTGCCCCTAAGGGGGCTTTCTCAGTCTGCCAGTTCTTCCTCTCCACCCTTCCTTTGTTATGATAAACTGTGGTGTTTTATATCCTAATCCAAACCTCCAAAG